TTTTCTTTAAACGGACACACGACATTTTTTTACCGATTACAAAAATGATAGCTAATTAAAAGAAAAATTAAGTTCACTATCTACATATGTGTTTTATATTCAATAAATAACCCACCTAATGCGGTGTGATAATGACTTTCGATAAGATATAAAATTCCGTAATAAATGTTTTATAACGGATGAGATAATCTGACAATGTATTGATTGAGTATATGTGTAGATACAGGGCGTTTGACATAATGAACACTTAAAAAACTAATTTTTTTAAGAAAACTATAAAAAATAAAAAAATTTTCTATTTAATTGCAAAATTACATTGTTACATGCTTATATAAAATTTACTTTTATATTAGCTTGAATAAATTTTACCGCTATACGTAACGATAACACCGAGCTTTTGAGTAATAATTTAAGAATTTAATAATAACTATTACGCAATAAATTAATCACTTAATTAATCCCTGCAATAATTTGAATAAAGTTTTTTATGAATTAATTTTACTGTAAAGAATCGTGCGAAATAAATGTTCCGTTCAGAATTATTTTTAAAATTACTTAGTTCACTTTTTAATTTCGAGAAAGCATGAAAATATTAATGTTGATGGAAATTATAGAAAATATTAAGAGCAGAAATATGCATATATTGTATTTACAATAGTTATAAAGAAGTCAAATTTTTGTTATTTTCCTCCCTTCTAAGTTTCTGATATGATTATAAGCTAAAAACAATTAGAGTTAGATCACACTTTAAGTACCACATATAAGTAGGTTTAATGTAGCAAAAATAATTTTATTAAATACTTTTGAAGCAAAAATAATATTATCGTTTTCCATCCATTCCGCATATTTGTACTATACTTAACTAAGTACTCACTTAAGCACATGTTTTTTAAGAAACAAAAAAAATGATTACTTAAGAGTAAAAAGTAAACTTTAATATAGGGGAATTTTCTTTATTTTCATTTCTAGTTTTATTTCTGGAAAAAGTGCCGGAATTACTGATATCTTAAGTAAAACTGCCATAAAGTTGAAAGAAAATGTCAATATAAATTGTAGCTTCATACACGTTTATCCGTAACTGCAGCCCTAAGTAAACTAAATTAATCAAATTTCGATCGAATAAAAACAAAACCAAGAATTAATAATGACGAAGTTCTTGCCTATTTATATAATTTTGGATAAAGTTAAACCATATTATTATAACGTACAATAACGTTGATACTTATCTGAAAAAACACTCTTTTTCCTAATGGTTTTTGTATTAATTTATAAAATTAATATTGGAGAAAATATAATATTCTTCCTCATTTCTATGCAATAATAGTTTTGCATTTCCAGAAATTTCATCACTCTTGCGCATATTTTCCCATGAAACAAAATGTTTACCATTAAAAAAAAAATTCTGTTACTATATGCTTTTTATTTTAATTATTATTTTTATTTTAAGACTTAGTCACAATTCTTATCTTATCTCCTCAATATTTATATAAAATATTATCAGAGTTTTTTTATTAAATATTGTTATGAAAGCTTAGATTATTTCCTAATTATAATGAATATCTTTTGTAAGTTAATCGGCATTTATATATAAATATTTTATTGTATTCATTAGTACTTAAGTATAAATTAAATAAAGAAATAAAATGTTTCAAAATATGAATGGAACTTAAAAATAAATTTATTCTATATCAATAATTTTTAAAAATTCTAATAAAAAAATCATTATTGATTTAAATAACATTAATTTTTACTTATTTGTACAAGTAGTTTGTTTTAGGAAAGCTTTAAATTTTATATTATAAAATTTCCCAAAAATAGTATCTACAAAATCGAAAATATTGCATGGTCACAAAACTGTAGGAAATCCTTTAGGAGTCTAGTTCACAGTTACACTTTATGACACATTTTGAATAGTATGCATCACATCCATGATTATTGATATAAATATATGAATAGGGCTTTGTTATTATACTGCAAATTATTTGCGTATCCAGCTCCAAATGAGGAAATTCTTATGAAATCCAGTACATATCTGGTTGTTTGTATTAGTCTTGTGACTTAATTTGTACAATTTGATCAAAACAATTTAAATTTTTTTTTTAATTTTAATGCATACCTTATTAGTTGAAATTTGTATACTCAACTTTATAATCATTGGTAGAGTAATATATTGGTACTACTTATATAACAATATTGATTTTGCGGGATCACGTTTTTAATACCAAGTGAATAATAATTTAGTGATAAGAGTTGCTTGAATTAATATTAATTATTGTTATTAATATTAATTATGGTTATTAATATTAATTATGGTCATTATGCATATAGGTGTTTTTAAAAAATCTAGAAAATGAGCAAACATTTTCACAAATGTTATCACAAATTCACAAATATATTTTTACAATTACATAAGTAGTTTAAAATAATGAACGCGTTTTTAAATTTTGATATGAATACAATTGACAAAATTGATCTGATTTGCGTTTAGATTTACGTATACTCCCATTACATTTACCTTTTGAAAGTTAATTGTGCTTAAACACAATTTTATCTTTAAAATTTAATAATAATAATAAATATTTGAATACATACATACATACACCATGACTCAATTGAATAGTTATGAATTAAGTAAACGAAAAACAGAAAATCATATACGAAAAAGGTATTTATGATTCATTCAAAGAGTATAATAAAACAAATAGTTATATATATTTAATAGGAATAACAATAATAAGATACAACAATACATACATATGTACATCATTCTGTATTAAACCATTTAACAAATTTGAATTTACCTACATAATATACCAACGTTTTTAAACAAATAAAATTTATTGCCTTTTAATCAGACAAAATTATAAATGAATGTATTCACAAACAAAATGAAATATTAAAATGCCGGTGTCACGTATTTGTTTTTATAATTCAATAATTAATGCTATGTACACACATATGTGTATGATTAGAAACAACAATAATGAAATATACTAGTTAGCGGGTGTATACACTAAATTTTTTTTACGTGGCGTATCCTTCTGTAATGTTGCATAACAGTTTTTGTTTTTACATTTAAATTTTTATTATTAAAATATTTATGTAATATTTAAATGTTATACAATGTTTTATATGATTTAATAAGTGTTAATTGCTTATGCTAAGTAATCATTTACTTAGCATAAGCAACAAAATTGAAATCTTTTTTACTAAATATTTGTTATTTTTAATAATGTTAATAAAACTTTTCTAACAGTACCAATAATGTATAACACTTAGTACGCTAATTTTGAGATATACGTAAATTGTGTACCTCATTTTATAAAATTACTTATTAATATCTATAAAATTCCTTTTCCAAATAATTTATAAGTTTCTTCTTCAAAGAAATTATAAGTTAAGGTTTATCTTGTGGACACTGTTTTGTTATTCCAAATTTAAAACTAAAAGATAATCAACCCTATCATGAATTTGGTTTGTAGCTCTGAAATTCGCAAAATTACGCATATCATGTTATAAATTTCGAATTATTAAAATTCTGCTCCAAATATTCGTGATAATCATTAATTACATTCGTAGTGAAAATTACCCTCAAAAGTGTTCGGAAAGAAATAATCACTCGTAACAAGCAATTTAAAGAGAATAATCGTATTAAATTTTTAAATTTTGAATATTTTTGTTTGAGTTTAAGTTACTCTAACAGCTACTAAGAAAGCAACTTAATTCATATTGCGAAAAAAAAAATTTTTTCCACTTTTCAAAAATATTCAAAAACTAAAAAAGCTGCAAAATTCGAAATAATATACTTGATAGTTGAAACAAACATTATTTTGATAGTTGAAATAAATTACTTATTTCGAACCTCCGATACTTAAATGGTTTAGCCACGAATTTGTGATCATTAAAAAGTCTACTTCGAAGTTATGTTCGCAATTCGTTGGATTCTACGAGTGGAATTCTAGTTAGAGCTGAATATAACCGCACAGAGTATATAATTCCACAAAGGGTTGTATAGTACTCATGTACTAAGAAATATTTTTAATATTTGTGTCTTTATCATTTATTTCTACATAGCCTACTTACTAATATAAATTATGTAAAATAATTATAGAGGATTATCTAAATGAGTACTTATTTTAAATATCAAAATCAAACATATATGTACATCATACATATATTTTGATTAGATATGCCCATGTACCTACTTGCGTATAATATTTTAAATAGATAATAATTTGCTAAGTGGCTACTTCTAACATTAATTGAATATAATGTAATTTAAATATTTAACACATAGTATAAAAACTAAACTACTAAACTAAATATAACACTAAGTTATCTTCTCAGTATTCTTGAAGCTTGTTTAAAAAAATTTTTTTTGATTTTTAATAAAGTAAAATAATAAAGTAAGAAGTAAAAAATGTAAAACATTGCATTTCTATTTTCTAATTCCGAATTATGTGGTACATATTATTATTTTTATACCTAGCTTCATACATACATAATATAAGTACATATATATGTACTACTCCGACATATCATTACAAAATTTATTTACAAGATTAATAGTAATCAAATTCATAAAGCCGAACACGGCCACTATTAGGTCTAAACACTTAATAGGGTTTTAGGGTATTATATTTCTTATTATGTACCTATATGTAGTTTGGTATTATATATAGCTTAGAGTATTATCTTTAAGCTACAAACATAATAGAGCTTGTACCTCTAAATACATACTTACTTACTAATATAACATGTGTTTCAAATTTAAATATGATCAGTTTAAAAATTAATTTCAAAGATAATTTTTTTAGTTTTCGTTAAGGTATGGCAGCCTACGTTTTTTTTTTATTCCAAAGTATAGATGAATAGCTGAAAACATTCAATTAAAAAATGTTTCGAGGTACATATGTACACATGTATTTTAATTGTCATAATTTTTTAATTTCAAATACCAAATATTTACATAAATAATAAAATTTTATAACTTTACTTACGGCTCTTTTAATATGGGTGCAATTTTGTAAAGGCAATCCAAAAGTGATTCATTAACACACCATACATTTGGTTTTAATGGTTGGCTATTAACATTCAGTATCCTAAATAGAATACAAAGAATCACAGCTATTGCTGTCAAGAATGCGGTAGACATGGCTGAAAAAGTTCTAAATAAATGATATCTGTCGAATAAATTGATTTCGTTGAATAGTTGAAGTAAATTTTGTTTACTTTCCACAAAGTTTTCATAAAAGAATGAGCAAGTATATTGTGCTAACATGCAAGTAAAAAGAAATTAATTTAACCGAATTTTTCTGATTCACAAAATTGTTCTAATGGTGCGCAGTTTTAAATTATTTTTAATTCTATTGTTTTTATGTTTTGGTTTTAAAAAAAAATAAAGAAAACTGAAAAATAAATGTCACACTTTGGGTGTGAACAAAGTTAAGAAAAACTATTTTTTCTTTTAATAAATTTTTCAATCACTTTTATTTTTTAAAAACTATCACAATTTTATTATTTATGTTTACATTTACTCATTTTACACAAACCACAGGAAATTTAATATTTTGTTATAAACAAATTTTTTTTTTGAATTCCGAAAACAGCTGATTCGTTTCTAAACGTTCTTTTGCCTAATTGCACTCAACTATTTATAATTAAAAAATTTTTAAGAGAATTGTTTTTTTTTTTCAAAATTTAAAATTTTTTTTTACTTTAAAAATTTTTTATACTTTCACCGAAATAAATTTTTCAACCAAATACCTTGAAAGACAATTTGTCAATAAAAAAAACCAAAACGACGGAATGGAGTTGTTTTGATTTTTTCCAGTGCTTGTTACTTTTTTTAACGTCTTCTGTCTAACTTGACGTTTTAATTTCTACAATAAAATACAATACTGCCAACAGTAAATACACGAATATTCCAAACGAAATTCGTTTTCACTTCAAGCAAGTCGCGATTGTGAAATCTAATACAATTAAAGTGAAGAAACATTTTTTAACGAATTTTAACAGTGTAATTATTTGTTATTAGAAATTGTCTACTCAACCATTATGAACTACTTCTTGATAGAGAGGAAAAACTTTAATAAAAAATTTAATAGAAAATTCGTTTTAACTAGAGAGACAAGTAACTACGTATACAATTTGTCTTGTTTTGATTCATTAGTGAAATATAGAAAATTGCAAAACAAAAGAAATAAGCCGAAAAAAATATCAAAAAGTCTTTACTTAAATTATTCTAGTAAAGTGATAAATATAAACTCTTTTTTCTTTAATTGATTTTCGCAAGCTGGAGTTTGTACAGCAGCTTTTAAGCTTTCTTATTCTTCCATTGTTACCATCAGTAAGTCCAAGTGTACAGAATCGACTTGATTTAACTAATTACTACTTTCACCGTTTCATTTTAAAAAAAATAAGATAAAATTTTTAGTGAAAAATTTTTGTAGAGCAGTTTAATGATTTTTCATGTATGTATTCTTAAAAAAATTCCAACAGCTTTGAACACTTAAAAAATTTTAAAGTTATAGTTGAAGATTAAGTGACGTTTATGAAGAAAGAATGAAGTTTTACAGTTATACAGAATTTCAATTTCTATATAAATTTTTGAGCTTAAATGCGAAGTTTATTCAACTTTATATTATTTCGACTAATATTTTTTTATTAAAAGTATGATAAATAACTGTGTCTTATATATTAATAATTAATAATTAAAAAAAATTATCAAAATTAAAAAAAAAAACTATTGCGATAACTTCGTGGCTGCAATAAACATTGCTACAATCGCTGCGCTGCATTGTGTTCTAATCGCAAAAAATCTAAACAATTAGTTATTAATTTTGACGTTTATTATGACATTCTATGTCTATTAATCATTGTTTTGAAATTGGTTAATATCACGGGCCAAAATACAAATGGAATTGAATTTCGAACAAAATACATACTTTTTTGTTTCCATATTTTACTTTCAATTTTATCAATTTAGAATTCAGTTTCATTGAATCAATCGTCTGGTGTGTTAGAACTTAGTAGTGTCGCGGAAGGCGGTTTATTTTAGTTTTATTTACTCGTTTCATTTTTATTTTTACTTGTTGTTCATCTAGAAATGACAACAAAAACTACATATTGTTAGTGATATTTTTAGTATTTTTAAACATTTTGAAAATATATATAAAATTCTAAAAATACCTAGATTTATTTCCATAATTGTGTATTAGAAAATAATGAAATTTGGTTTTCATTTGTAAATTTAGTGAAGATTTTCATCTTATATTACTAATTGGAATTGGAAAGTACACATTTTAACGCGTATACCAATGGATATTCATACATACATACATGCATACATTCTTATTATGTACCTTTTCATGTGAACTTATTTTTATCTTAATTTTATTGTTTCATTCTTATTTTATAAGTATAAATATGAAGTATATTATATATTGTATAAGATTTGTACATAAACGTATGTATATCTATATTTAATATGATATATGTAGGTATTAATGTACATATGTATATTTTTTGTGATTTTTGAATAGTAAATTTCTGTTCTAAAAAAAGAGAAGCAGACAGGTTTACAAAAATAAATTCTTATACAAAAATTGTAGAGGGTGTAAAGATTAAAATAGTAATGTGAAATATATAGATACGAATAATATGTGTATTTACATAGATTTACGAAAAAAAGAAGCTGTTCAAAAGAAAAAAAATATCTGCCTACCCACTGGATATTTTTTTTAAAATTTAGAATTTTATGAGAAAATAAAAATTTTGAATGAAGAGAAAAATCTCAAAAATACATAAAGAAATAGAAATAATAATGTGTTTTTGAATAAAGAAGTTACTTGCTTATATATAGTTTAAATAACGTTTGGGTTTTGGTATAATTCTGAACACCAAAGAATTCACATGTAAACATAAATTTTTTACTTAATTTTTCTTTAAAGAGCAGCAAGTTGTTATCAATCAAAATAATCATAGCTAATGTATACACATATGCATACACATATGCATACATACATACATAGATAATATTATTAGTAGTTAAAACATGCAATACATTTCAAAATAGAAATTAATGGTTAAACTGGATAGGTGATTAGGTAATATAAAAATAAGAGTGATGATTTAAAATTCAATAGGTCCTACCTGCCACCCATTCTTTCTTATTAATGTGTTTCATTTTATTTTGTACTTTGCGATATTTTATAAGTACTTGCTAATATACGTATATACCTTGCATATTACTCACCGTAATGCAAATTGAATTGATGAATAATGTAAAATTCATAGTAAGTTTCCATAACTTTAATAACAATAATTTTGTTTGTGTTATTCATTATTTTACACAGCGGTTTCGAGAGCCAAACACCCAATCATTAGTTAGGTTTAAATTTACGATATAAAATGTGGAATAATAAATAATAATAAAACGAGTCGCTTAAAACAGCACTTAATTTTTTTTAAAGACAAATATAATATAATTGACTTTTTAAAATGAAGATTAGAGTTTTCAATAAATTTGTACACAAGGTTTTGCAATCAAATTCAAAATTGTACTTGCTTTTACCATAAACAATATACAGGGGGGTCTAGAAATGGTGTAAAAGCAATCGGGCGGTGGCCCCTTGGATTTTTGTAGAAAAAACAATATTCATGGAGGGAAGGCCATGGTCACCATCAATATTGTTATCAACGTAAAATAATTATATGTACGTGAATACTCGCACGTTTACTATAAATATGCGTTATATATATGATTTCATAATGTGGACAGAAAAATACTTATCTAACTATCAAAAATTAATAATGTAGGGTGGTATCTAATTAAATATAAATATGAAGTAATACATTTTGTGTAAGGATAGATAGTCCATGAGCAGGAACTAAGTTTAAAATAAATTCAAATTGAAAAATTTTTATTATAGGTGCATAAAGACTTTCCGTCTAACTCAAAATAAATTGATCTATTTAAATAAATTAAAAGCAAGAATAGTGATATTGCGGTTAAAAATTGTATTTATATTTATTTATTTGTATAACAAAATAAGTATACTTACCTATAAGAATATCAAGCGTATCTGAATAATTAAATCACATTCTAGAGTAGGCCACAACGAAATATAACACCTTAAAAAATAAACGAATAATGGATAATATTGAATAATGGAAATTTGTTGTTTAATTATTAACTTGTATCTAAATATTTTAGTATCTTTCTACTGTTAAGACAAAGCAATTCAAATTTTTTTCCGTTAAAGTAATAATTAGAGATTAATTAGAATATATTAACACATATTTGACTAATTATAAAACAACAGAGTTTTACTTAAAAAGTAAGTAAAACAGTTCAATAAAATTAATTTTAAGTCAAAAATGTAGTTTGCCAAAATATTTAGTTATAAATTGGTAATGGGACAACCCTGCATTAGAGTATCGTTAATTATTATTCACATACTTATGTTCTACCCCAACTTATCAAAATTTTAAAGAAAAGTTAAGATAAAATATTAAAATGTATGTATTCAGATATGACTACATACGACATAAGTGAAATTTTATTTATCTTGTAAACATTATATTTTGTAATGTAAAAATCTAGATCTATTTTAATTTTTAGTCAAGTAAATTTTTTTCTTAATTAAGTAATAAAATACCTATGTGAAAACACATCACAAATATGTACATATGTATTTACATATGTGTGTAAGTATTATTATAATCTCATGTGAATTTTAAACATTGGGACATCGGAATTTCAATTACCTACCTATACGTGGAATATTCAAAATATAATAAGTAATACAAAGAAAAAAAACGAAAATACATGCGGAAGGTTATTAAAAATATGGCTTATTCAATGTACCAAATTACTCCCACTTAAATAAATCAGGTGACTTTGTTTGGTAACATTTGTTCAATATTAAAGTTCAATGTTGACTAATATTGAGATTTGTAAAGTTCTTATGAATTCTACATATTTCAAAATTTAAAAATTTCGTAAAACATTCATATAAGTATGTCTATATGAACGAAATCAATATGTAAAATTTCTGGTGAAAATTAACCCATACCAAAACTCGTGTTGTGATAGTGACGTATTTTTCAATATTTTAGGAATTTTAATAAAGAAAAAGTTAATACTTAAAAACATGATTGACAAAATGTTACACTTGGTAAGCAATTTCGATGAAAGTAAAGATATAAGTAAACTACAAAAATAAATAAATTGGCGTTTCTTCTACTGTAATATAATATTTGGAATTATTCTCAAGTTAATCTTACATGATTAATTTTTTACATACTATTTTAGTATTACCAGAGAATTTCGTAATGTGTTTTTTTCACATTTGATGAATGTGGGAATATTTGTATAAATTGTTTTATGGGAAAATCTGTATTAGACCGTCTGTTTTTTTAGAATTTCAAAAATTTATGTAGGCATTGCAAAACTTTTAAAATTTGTCTTTTACTAAATCACATGTTTTCCAATATTATAAAAATTTTGAAATAAATTTTTTGAGTTTTTAGAACAGTGATTTTGAAAGATAAAAAAAATCTTGCCTAAATGCAAACTAATCTTAAACTGACAATAAACCTACATTTTGGTTAAGGTACTTCTGCTCTAAACCTACATTTTGGTAAAGGACGAATAAGTAGCGTCAGTGTATGCTTTTTAAACTTATTATAAAATTAGAGCCGTTTGGTAGTTTCGATATTACTTAGTACTTCCTTAGTTTTTTTTTTACTAACAAAAGTTTTGATAAAAAATATTTTCTCTGCGAAAAAAATTTAAATTAAAACATAAAATGCAAATGTGAACTGTAATTTTCAAAAACACTATACGTTTCTGAAAATTTGATAGTACCTCTCTACCCTTCTGCAAATTTTAATATCAAAATAATTAGTATAACAGTATTTTAAAGGGTTAAATCGAAATCATTTATTGAAATTAAGTAGAGTTAAAATTTTGTGTGGTTTTTTTCTTATATAATTTTGAATTAATAAAAATCATTTAACACATATCAAATTACAATATGCATATGCATGTATGGATGATGTGTACATACATATATGCAAATATTTACAAAATTAATATTGTAGTATTGTTTTCTTTTTGTAATTTTTATAACTTTGCGCGCTCTTTATATTTAAAACATAAATGAAATAAATTGAACGCATTTAAATTAAGCTTTTTCTAAATTTCAATTCATCAAACCGTGTATTAATTTTATTGACCTTATAATAATTCAATAATTTATTATACAACTGAAATATGTATGCCTACATATACCAATATTATTAATAACACAAAAATATATACGTATATAAATATATTTTTAATGTATACAAATGTATTTTTAAAATATTATTTTAAGAAACCATTAAAAGTATTACTTTTATATTAGTCTGAGGGAAAAAGAAAAAAGATATTAATTTTAATATACTTACTGTACGTACTTAAATACTTAGTTATGTAGTTTTATTATTCTGTATAATATGAATTATAATTGAAATTGTAAGTTATAAGTATGTATACATAACATAGTAAATATTTGTATTTTAAGAATATTGTGATGCCTTGTTTTGGTTGTAAAAAATGTTCTATTTGATTTTTAGATGTGAATGACACCATATAAGGTTTTTCTTTTGAGTTTAATATTTTCCAACTTCATAAATATTTACTTAATTTATTTTATTTTGTTTTAAGTAATTGCATTTTATTTTTAAATAATAAAAATATTATATAAGTATATAAATATGAGTTTTTAAGTAAAAAATAACAAAATTTCTCAAAATTTCACGCCTCCATTAAAAAAATAAAATTATTGGCTTAGTTAAGTAGGGGTTAAATTTAAATATCTATAGCATTTGTAGACGATTGTAGAGGTTAACTTTAAATATCTAAAAGTATTTTTTATTTATTGATTAAATGAGCAAAATATTCTTGCGTACATACTTACTTAGTTTTTAATACAATTGTTTAATTGGGTTTTGCGATGCGATCACAATACAAAAGCTGTTATTGCATCCTAAAACCAAATTAAACAATATTAAAATTAATTTTTTGCAATTTGAATACTGACATTTATATATACATTAACAGCACGTTCGATTTATAAAT